GTGCGGCAGACCGCAAGTCGGAATGCCCGTGCGGGCAAATGGTAACGAAAGCTGGGTGAATTTCGGTGCTGTCTGTGATGTTTATCCCCGAAGCGCCAGCGGCCTCAGCAATCCGCCCCACAGCCGCGGGCTTCATCGGGGCACACCGCAAGTCTCCGGAGGCCCCGAGCATTGGCTAAAGTAAATGTACATATGCGCAGCTTGCGTATTTCATAGAGAAATGTAAGCAAATTTGTCGGCCTGCTGGTGGCAAGTCGGAATGCCCGTGCGGGCAAATGGTAACACAAGCTGGGTGTTCAAGTTATCATACGCTGTCATCTCGGAAATCAATGATGAGTTACCCGGCACCTTTTTGAGATGAAATTTAGCCCGAGAGGCGTTGATGTGACTATGAGCTCGGTCAATGGAGGCAGCCAAAGTTGTTTGTGCTCATACGATCTTTGTTAGCTACATGCGAGATACCTTGCAATAGAGAATGCTGTATAGTACCGATAACGCGTTTCAGCCGGGTGAAATATTATGTTTGGTCCGTTACACACTCAAGGCCTGGGAGTTCGAGCTATCATACGCCGTCATCTAAGAATTCAATATGAGATACGCGGTACCTTTTGAGATTAAGTTTAGCCCGAGAGGCGTTGTGACTTTCGCGTTTCAGCCGTGCGAGATATTATGTTTGGTCCGTTACACACACACACACACACACACACACACACACACACACACACACACACACACACACACACACACACACACAGACATGGGCAATCCTACAGGTCGGGGGCCCCCTGGGCGCTTCGCGCTGGGGCCCCGCCCAAAAATGCTACCTTCCCTTCATGACGGTGTAGCACGTGACAGGTATCTCAAGGAAAGCACCATGCTAATCGTTTTGGGTTCATCATGTAGTAAGTGTTGTTTTGCTTTTGTTTTGAATGCAGCCCCCATACACCCGCACAGCAAAGTCTCTGACCACTTCTTTGCCAATGACCGTCTATCGAGCCTGTTTAACAGGTCAAGCTTAGGTGCTGCACGGACTTGCCATGCCTCCTCATTATTAAGGCACTTACATGACCATCCCATTGCAGGCGCACTGTCTGTCTGCCTCATGTTGCATTACTTCACAATCAAGTGCCGCGTGCCAGGATCGACATCCTTTTCCCCTCCTCCATCCCACAGGTTCATGTCCAGGGCAAGGTCAACATGCAATCACACTACACTCCAATCCAGGAGGTCCATGCCAGCCTGTGCCACCTGCCCTCAAAGTACACAATTGCAATGACTTCTCACACCCTTGCTTGCCAAACAATCTACTCATACAGCATCACTTTGCTGCCCCAGCACGCCTCCCTTCCTGAAAGCAGTACACCCACTGTTGAGCTGCAAACACCTCACAGCCAGCACCCCCAACAGCAGTCCAACACATGCAGGCCCGTTCAGAGATGCCAAGGCATGTATTCAGCCGTACACAAGTGTACACATATTCAGCCGTACAAACCTACTCCGCCCATGCTACCACTCATATCTGTAGCTGTTTCCTTGTACAACTCAGCGCACTTACAGATACATGCCCATCTGTGCCTATATCTACACAACCTGCAACACCAGCAAATGAGCAAATGCCCAGCAATGACCAGTCCCCAGGTACACACCAGCTGCGAGCCCAACCGTTAACATGAATCTGCATGTCTAGAGGGCCCAATAAAGCATCATGCCATGGTGACCAAGACAAGCAAAGCCACCGACTAGATTTCTAAGCCTCTGACGTTCACAACCTTGTGCCCACATCCACAGCGGCCACCATACCAGCCATCACCAGCGGATGCAGCTGCCACAGCTGCAGTGGCGACACCATCACCGCCAACTGGGGGCAGCAGAGGAGATGCTCGAGATATGCGGCTTCGGAAGGATGACCATGCGCGGATTCAACCGTGGCAGATGGCTGCGCCTCGGAATTGAGATGCCCGTTGGGGACCTGCTCAAAGCAGACGGCGCAACATGGCCACCTCTGCCAGCAGTCGGAACGTTGCTGCTGCTGCTGCTGCTGGAGCTTCCAGGGCTGCTG